TCAATATGGTGGATTACATAATTCACAAGGATGCAATTTTCACGCCTGGTTTTAACGTAAAGCCTGCATTGTATGGTAACATAACTCAGCAGGAATTTAAGAAACTAACAAGCTTCAGGTAGTCCACATCCACAACTTACTGATGAACGTGGGTAAGTGTACAGCAGACACTCGGAATTAATATATATAATAATACGTATATGTGGTTGGAAATCCTTACCTGTTGTTAAGGGGATATTGGCTATATCCTGCATAAGCACTATACGCCAGAGCGATTTGATCCTGGAAAGCATATCCATATGCATCATACCCATAGCCACAGTAGTGCTTTGCCCACTGATTCGGATCTGCTTGCTGGACTCATTAATAGCCGATGGATCCTGCATATATTATTTCATGCGATAATAGATAACAAAACATTAGCTACCATTAGAAGAGATTCCAGTAGGTAAAAAATACAGAAGATAATGATAATAACAAGAAAAACAAACAGAAAATTCAGGGAGAGTTACAAGAAAAATGAACAAATACCGTCATTATCAAACCCCAATAATTACATCAAATAAACAATCCCCTAATATTCAATCTACCAAAACAGCAGCATAAGAATACTATCATGTGGCTCTCACACCTTTTCAATTCCAAGTGTTAGCACCGAGTAAAATCTTCCCTTAACATGCTTTATTGGTGCCAAAACAGCCCCACATGCTTATAACGTATCCACGCCCAGTTTCACCGGATATAAGGTCGAGAGAGATTTATTGAATGCTATGGAGTTAGGTTTATGCAGTAAAATTTTTATAAGATATGCCTGTTTACTTAGAGACTTCGCCCATGAAAGCCCGAACAGCTTGTTGGCAAAATCATTGTGCCATGAAGACGTTTGTACTGCCTCCTCTTCAGCTGATGCCCTGCAATGGTTACAATCTGCAATGGTAAACACCCTACCTTTTCATTACTAAGAAAACTTAGATGCTAGTAAGAGATGTGCCATCAATAAATACATCTATTTTTGCAGGGGAGCATTATATGAAAAAAAATACAATAGACATATCCATGTGACATTAATTGTAAAAAATTTCTCTTCTTGTTCAAGTTGAGATTTACAATGGAAAAATGCGGTAATACTGCGTCGAAAATGTTCACTAGTTCTTCTTGTAAAAGCATACGCTGTCCCTAACATCCCAATTTTACAGGCATACTTATTTGTGGATGTTACTGACATTTGGATTTTGAGCAGAGTCCTGATATGGATAACTAAACTAGACAACGAAGAGCATCAGGGCAACCAATACACTTAAATAGAAATTTTCCTATAGCACTTACCTAGATGCATACCAGTACAAATCCACATCCTTTACCAACAGGAATTTTCACATATATAAGCTCTCTCAAACTGTACACATATCTGCCTCAGCTCATCTTCTTCTCTGTCACATTTGGATCAAGTTCCCAATAAATATCTGTAAGCCGTATGATATATCCCAAGGTAAGTGGTATAGTCAACACTCAACAGAGTAACAGACAGAAGAATATGGTAGAGAGATCCATACGGAAGGTAGTGTTTGTAGGTTCACTGTCAGGAGAACTGCCTGGGGCTGAGGCATTGCATAAGCTGTTGGGGTGGATACACTCACTACACATTAACATAAAGACCGCTATAATAAATCCACGAAAAGAAACATCAAGAAAATGAAGAATCCCATACAAACAACACAGTACATTCAGATCATCCAGTGTACCTTTAGCAGCTGAATACTGAAGCTTGAGAGCCAGTGGATTTCTTAGGTATTGCAGCACTTATCCGCATAGGTCTTGTTGAACAGTACACACCATTCATTTCTGTCATTGCCGCGGTTCTTTTCATTTTCATCTCACGAACTTCTACAAATCCATATCCTTTAGATCTCCCGGTATTTGGATCTGTGACAACCTTCCAAGCCCCTCTAATGAGATGGATAGTTCACTCGGAATGTCTCCTGTATTAGTAATCTGTGACATCAGGTGCCAGGTCCCCCTCTTAATCGAATGATCAGATCCTGAATCAGGACGCTCTCACCAGAGCTGAAAGAGGCCCAATTCAATCTGAATGTGTGTTCAGTTCAGGCATCTGTGTGCCATTGTGAAGTCTGGAGAATTTTCTCAAGCAGCTAATGCGAAACAAACTCTATAAACCCATAACCCTCTGGAAGGCTTGTTCTGCTTTGTTGCGTATTATTTAACGATTGTACCTGCACTTCCAGAAATAAAGGTCTTAAACACAATGAGTTCAAAATGTACTCTCCAAAGGCTCAACCTTAACAACAGCAAAAAGACTCTACAACACAAACATATGCTAAATAGTATAGTAATAGTTCTGATGTTCAGATAAAGTTGAAGTGTTATATTCTAAAAAACATGCTTCTATCATCAGCTCAGTGCCCCCCACACACACACACAAATAAAAAATGCTGTAGCAACCCAGTCATAGATCAGACATGCAGCTACAAAATGGTTGGCATGTATAAACTCAAACAACTGTCAAGAATATTTTATACACAACTTTTTTCTGTACTGAAGGCACCCGATACTTAAATAAATCATTTTCTTAATTTTCAGAAACTATCAAACTTAAGTGAATAATCCTACCAATGCTGTTTTCCAAACAAGCCCAAATCAGTGCAATGCTTTACTACAATATCCTAAAAGACTCATTGAAATATAGATAAATAGGCCTAGAACATTACATTCACCTACATGCAAAATAACCAAGCTACAATGTTTCCACAACTGCAGATGCTTAACGACATATTCCAAAAAGGCCTGCGTGGATACCTTCACTTTCTCAGAGTAATTTTATCTGTCAGAACTACACACACTTTTACATCAACTGGGTGAAGTATTTTACGCCCAGATATACAACAACAACAACAACAGCCTTCGCGAACAACCGTGTTGCTACTTTCACTAGAGGCCCATCCGTTGATGCAAGAGGAAGCATGTGACCTGCTTCAATTCACAATTGTTTGGGTCAAATTTTTCAAAACTAAGAGGCTGGCTCACTGTAAGCCACAACCCTAAGACCATGAGAACCCTTACATTGCTCCAAAAAAAAACACGCATAAGGCACGGTTGTCAACCCATGTATCACCCTAGAGCGAAAGAATAGCAACCACTAGCCCACCACAAATGGGCAAGTCGACCTCGATGCATCAAAGGCGAGAGCTACCTTGAAATGCCAACTCTCCTGAATTCACCCAATCCGCAGCAACGCAACCGCTCAATCAGACATTGAGACTGACAAACCCAGCTTAAAATCACCGAATTACGACGGCAACCAAACGAACCCTATAGAAAAAATTCTGCCTAATCGGCGCGCAAGGCACGGTCATGGGGGCACAGGTCGAAGGACGTCGCCTACCTCCCGGTGTGGGCGAAGCAGCTGTAGAGGTAGTTCTCGTCGGTCCAATACTGGAGGTCGCCGATCCACAACGTCCGGACCTCCTCTGGGCTCGTCGGCTGGTGATACGGCGCCGCCATAATGAGCGGCGCGAGGCTGCTGGGGGGTCGGAGGCGCGGCTGGGACGAAGACGGAGGACGGGTTGGGGTTACCGGGTTAGTGCGGCCGCTTGAGCGTGCTCGTCTTCGTTCCTTCGACGGTTCGACCTGTTGTTGCTTCTGGAGCTCACGTGTTTTGGGGCCTTTTTCAGCCCATATTTGGGTGGGCTAGTCGTCAGTTAATGATCCAGTGGGTAGGATCGATTTGGCCCTATTCTGTTTTTAAAGATAGACGAAATCTCTCCCTCAATTCACTCAAAAAAAAGAAGAAGGAAATTTCTCCATCAAAACTTTATAGCATCTTGCTTAAAAAAAACTTTATAGCATCTTCAACGGTGCCCCCTAAAACTTTCTAAGGATGGCTCCCCTACATTCTGGGGTTCTATTTTTGCATTCAACTTCACTAAAGAGCCCGTATTTCATTTTGTCAGATTTTTAATATAATTTTTATGTATATCATTCGTATCACATCACTGGAATTCATAATTCAAACTTACGACCCGTTTGGTTGCGCTCCCAGCCGCTGGCTGCCTACCAAATCACTGCTGCGCACTGTTCAATATTGTAGAGAGGGAAACGGCTCCGATAAAAAAAAAAATAAATAAGGGAGGAGCTAGAAGAACTGTAGTTTTGGGGCTCCGGCTGACCACGCTACAGTTTTGAAGACGCCAGAAGAAGTCTCTCAAACAAGCCTTAAAATGTTTATAAAAATTGAAATGAACTGTATTCAAATTTATGATTTCAAATAAGACAATTGAAATCTAAATTTATTCAAACATAAAAAATCATAGTCATATAAAAAATGTCTATCACGCGACGTAGTGCTTGTGGCATTAAAGTGATCAACAACATTTTTCAATACGATTATTTTAAATTGTCTTTCATAATGGCATGGATGATTAATTTAGACATGATTCTGAAGGATTATATTTTATTTATTTTTAATAATGGCAATGGTGGATAAACTTTGATAAAACATATAGATACAATGATGATTTTACTAAATTAAAGGCTAGATGTTCCACGATTTCGATAATATTTTTGAAATTTTACACTTTTCTCTAAAGCATCTCCAGGAGGATTTAGGATTTTAATAACGTAGAGGTGGAGCCTCTAATCTAATTATTAGTTATAAAGGTTGCATTGTGGGCCTCGTCCAACCAAACACAAGTAACGGTACCTCTTTCCCCTGATTTGATTACGTTACAAAACGCTGAACCAAACACTAAATACATCTGATAATAACCTATATTTGGTAATATGGTGCTAATACACAATTCTAAAGAAGGGACAATAAGCTGCCTTCACGCAGAAATCATGCATCCATTGCGGGCAGTACTCACTACTCAGCTTCAAAGCGCAACGACTTCATAGCGGCCTCATAACTGATAACTCATTGCCTCTTAGGTTCGTCGCCAGGAACTGCAAAGCAAACAGGGCATGCCTGCAGAAAGGAATGCACTTTCATTAAGCGAAAGAAGCACAGGAAAGAAATTAAAAGTAGGCGTCTCGCCAATATTTGGTTGCTGACCTTGTTTATGCTAAGCCATCTTGTCACGCAGCTGGCATGGTATACATGCTTGCATGGAAGTGTCATCTGCAAATTTCCTCTCCTGTACTCCATTTGGCAAATCACACCTGACACCCAAAGGAAAGTCCTGCGGTTAACTTCATGTCCATTGAAGAAGCCGTACAAAGTTATTGCAAATAATTGCATACACTGCTCCACTATGATAAGCAAGGATCATATTTTTACATCAAACATATAATGATGCAGCATATTATAATCTGACCTTTCACGCCGTGTTTTCTTCCTTGAAAAGAAACCACACTTGTACTTCGTGACAGGAAGCGACGAAATGCGTTCTTGGGAGAGACCACGGCTCTGGGTTCCAACTACCTCACCCAAATCCAACAGTTCCTGTCAACAAAACTTGTTAGTTATGGAATTTTTTGAAGTAATCAAACGAGAGAACAAAATTGATATATGTACACTAGAAATGAAATACTTGAAGAACTTAGCAAAAAAGAACGGTTAGCAGAAATATAGCTCAACCATTGACACCATACTGTTATATCAACTGTTCCATTGCATGAACAAAGAGAAGCAACACATTTAGGCAATCCTGACAAGGAGTTTTTCAGATAAACGAACCAAAAAAGACATGATTGTTCAATTAAAAACTAAAAATGTTTTTTTTCACCTTAAATGTTAAGCAATGAAGAGGGTTTGGGAAGTCTCATCAATATAGACCAGCCAGGATCATGTCACGTACAGCCATACTGGCTACTAGACATTGCTTCGTTTCATATTTCCACATATAAATAACAGATTTGCAACTACTGGTTCGTAACCATCCATATAACTCCCAATCCACTCTTATTTGAATTATAAAGGAGAAAGCCCCATACAATGCATACGCAAAGGAAATTATTGTTTATTGGCACAATCAACACCTAACTCTAGGTCAAGCAAAACTTCATCCGAAAGAAAAAAAGTTCATAAACTGGTGATCCCACTGAACTGGAAAATAGCTAACAGTGACATTAGCTAGCAAGGGGTACATATGATGTGATTTGCAATGGCTAAAAGTAACTTTGTCAAAAGGCAACCTCCGTAAGCAATTAAAGAAAACGAAGTGGTTGGCAGTGCAGTGAGGAGCCATTCTCCATTTGGAGAATTTGATTATAACTTTGCTCATGGTACACTCTTGGACTAATACAATAATGCATGGTATAATCTATGCAGTCTCTTGCCTAATGTAGCTAAGAGTACAGGTTTAAAGTACAAACAATAAGTACAACAATACATATTTGAAGTGTCTGTTTTTACCTTACATAACCATCACAATACCATGGACAAAAAGATTGGTGCAGGAAGTCACTAACCTCATATGTCATGTTGTCAGGGTCAATGTTGTCTTGCCAAACAACCTACAAACATAATAACGATTTTCAGTGAAGCAACTGGAAAGCATGTCCATCCACAGCGAACAACATAAATGTGATCTCACAAAACATATGGACAAGAAACTGCAGCAAGCATGTTTTAGCGCTTGTGAATGAACAATAACTGAACATCACATGATATGTTGAGTTGAATGCATAATTGTAATATATACAATGTGGAACGTAAAATTAATAGAAGCAACAAACACTACAATAGGCATGTTATATTGTCAGATTTATTAGGTACCGGAGACAACTTTTATGGCATCTATACCCGAAAAATATAAACACCTTTTTTTAGGCACGCTGGACATATTTGAATCGGAGACATGAATAACAACAATATGAGAAGAGAATTCATTCTGTAGGGGATACGACATTCCTTGCAGGAGAAGGGCATATTAGGTCAAAGATAACCATGCTCAAAATTATCATTTACCTGAGGACTACCTGGACTTTGGTGTACCTGTTGGATGCCTGTAAAAGAACAACATCAGAGTGCCAGGTAAAGATGGATTAGTAAATTACATTGTCAAAAAGGATGTGCAAAACCAAAGATGATTCTGAGAAGTTGAAAGTTGGACTGCCTGACTTCAAGGAAAAAGGATTTAATCTTATGACTTGTTAGTGAATGTTAATGTAACAATCAAATTCACAAACAGGTCTCGCTTTTATGCATGCCTTGCATTTCCTAAGCTTGTCATAACTTAAAAAAACAAAATCAAATTATCAGATGGTTCCGACATGTACAAAGTATGGTTAAAACTTCAAACAATTGGGACGTCTACTCTCTTATCAATATAATGTCCAAGGCTGTCTATTTTACAACCAAAAAAATCTAATAAAGAGACAACAAATGGAGCCTAATCAGATAACAGCAGTAACTGATGGCCATACACTACAAAACTTTTCTTGTCAGACACCCTGGGAGCGAATGAAGAATGCCTTCATATAGACAGAGACACTAGAGTTGCATGGTTATACAACCATGCATATTTGTTTACCGGTCCTCTTAGAAAGGAAACTTCAATGGGGTATTATTGGCTCATAATGCAATTTAGATGTAAAACTACCTTGATCGCAAACATTACTCATGACAACTCTACTTCACATATGTGTCCAGTTGCAATAGAAATGCAGATTAATGAGAGTAAAGTTTAATTCCCAGGTGAAAGAATGTGTGGTGTTATCCCATATTCTTCGCCCACCATCTGATATGAAACCCTAAAAAATAACCTTTTCACTATTTAAGCCCAAAGTACATTGATAGCAAAGGAAGTGATAGTGATAAAATTGAGGTATCACAGTACATTCTTAGCAATTTAACCAGAGATTAGCAATATTTCCCAAAACTATGTAATTTTCAGGACTTGTGTTTTTGTATTTTCGAACTTACATTCCTCGGTAGTAGTATTTGCAGTTGTGCGGGGAGCTTCACTGCCCTGCAGGACAACATTGGCAGAGTCCACATTGTTTGCAGGTGTAGTGTTATCCCATACTCTGCGCCCACCATCAGCTCTATGCAAGTAGTCGTCTATGTCATAGACATGAGCATAGCTGTAATAGTTCCCAGGACCAGAGTATCCATACTTGTATGAGTTTGTATGCATCATTGCCCAGTACGGATTACCCTGCACAGTAGTGGCAAATCATTGTGAATCAAAGCAGCCAATGATAAGGAAATAAGATTGTAAGCTGAGGCAGTCAATTACAGCCATCTGGATTTAGCCTTTTTTTCCCCTTCCTGAGAGTTCAGTGCTATGCCAAAAGTAATTGCATAGGTGTGGCAAAACACAGGGTAACAAAATAAAATTTTTACAGTAATGTTGGGGGTCGATGGATCTGCTGTACAAGATTATTTGAGAAACATGGCAGTAACGTTTTGCATACCTGATCCTGAAAGCCATCCATAAGAGCAAAGTCAGCATGAGCATAAGTGAGACCCTCAAAGAAATCCATGAAGCTCTCTGTGATTGTGTATGGAAATCCAGTGTTTATGTAGTGGAGTTCCATTTGTCGACTGCTGTTCATTCCTTATGATGAAACATGAACCTAACAGAAATCAACCAATCAAAGTTGTGTTAAACTTCGTCCCACCATGAAAGTAGAAATCAGAAAAATCCGATTCGTATCAAGTGCTGGCATTGCTCTATAACATTTCATTTGATGAAATCAAAGCAGGAATAGGTTGTTAGCTGTAGCATAAGACAGTATAGTGATTGTACGGACTGTGAAATTTGCACGCTGAAACCTCTAAACTGAACCAGTGCGCAGCAAAAATGTTAAGCAATACTACAGATCTTGCTTACTGAATGATTATAAAGGATACATAATAGACGCATTACTTTGCAACCTGTCATTAGCATTAATGAATAAGACGCCAGCCAAATTATCATCGTACCCCAAAATGATCTAACAAAGGCGGCCCATTTCGGCACCACTGGTACAATGCGCATTCGCCAAAGCGGAGGACTAGGAACACAGTGCACGAATGAATGGGCAACGCACAAAAGGAGGGGGACATGACGGTTAAGTTGAACCGCCAAAAATAAAAAAATAAAACAGACTGGCATTGATACTCCATTACTAGCAACCAAATCGCAGGAAAAACGGAAAGATTGTAGTTTCCATCCCCGAGAGTTTGGTTTGCTCACATTAGAGAAAGCAGAGACTCAGACAAGAACAAAAGAACGAAGCAAAGCTAGGGCTAAGTAATTACCAAACAAAATACTAACAAAATGCAAGTCGGGGCAGATCTCCACCTCCAATGCCAGAAGTGGGGTGAAGACGGGGGTGAGCAATGACTGCAAGCAAGAGAAGGAGTCGAGGTGGCGTGCTTCCGCGGAGGGAGATGCGGAGGGTGCGGCGCGCGGCGAGGAGTGGCTCCGGCCTCCGGGTGGGGGTGGCGGCACAGAGGGAGGGGAACTCGCGGGAGACGAGGGCGAGGCGAGGAATGGGTGCGCGGCACGCGGCGAGAGCGCGAACAGCGACGTCGTCAGGTAGGAGGACGACGAGATGAACCGCTGCCCGCGCCGACGAGGTGGTGGAGGGTGGCCGAGGTGAATTTGGGGGGCGGGCGAGCAGGCAGGAGCAGGAGGACGACGAGGTGGAGAAGAACTGGAATGGAGGAGTTCAGAGCTTTGGCTGATATCATAGGATACCAGGAGTGGGAATGGCAGGCAGATGGTGCCACAGTGGGGACAGGTTTAAGAGAATTGAGATGAGAAGTGTTTTTTTTCTACGTAAGTATTTTGTTTCGGTTTACTGAACTAGTATCACCAAAATATAAAGAATCCAGATAGTACATTTTTTGCCATTTCTTTTTATCAGTTTGCTGATTTTCTGTAAGTCTATTGACCAAAATTTTTCTGGTTCAGCCATCTATATTTTTCCAAGAACAAATATGCAAAAGTAAATTATATAACTCTAAAGATAAATCTGGACGATTTCAGGCTCATGCCAAAAAATACCCTATGACTTGCAGTTACAGAGGTAAAATACTCCCTCTCGCAAAAAAAAAAATGCTCCATCTATATATACTTGTATAATGATGGATCATAGATCAGCTAAAATATTTTGCCCCTGCAATATTTATGTTTTTCTAAAAATAATACAAAAGAAAAAGAAACATTTGGATTGTTCGAGGATGTCAAAATGTAGGGCTCGCTAACCTTTCACTGCAGTTAGCGTAGGGTAATTGAGCTACAAAACTGTTCCGTAAATGCACCAATTTTTTATATTGTAAATGCAAAAGTAAATGCACCAGTATTTTAGCTAACTGATTCAGGGCGAAAGATGGCATTGGTGTCTTCGTTTATATCTCTCGTTTGTCTATAAAAATCCAACGATGCGAGATGTCAGCTGGCACGTTTAATTTTGAATGGTCCTGTGCTGCATAGCGTGGCTATCGACCGTGCAGAAATTTAAAGAAAAAAAATCCCTCCACATGCGATGGCACCAAATAGTCAATCAAACAAATTGAATTACGGGAGCAACCTTGATTAGGAGTAGTAGGTGCATAACTACACCGCCGCAATAGTTTACTGCCGCCTGCCTGCTGGCAAGTACGAGAGGGAATGCAAGGAAAACCAGTACAGTAGCTTCACTTTTTTACTGCAGCGCACTGCACTGCACTGCACCCAAAAGAGCATGGTTATTAATGCTCCTTATCACTACCAAATCATGGACTTGTTACCATGATAGTCATAACCACTGTGACAACACCGGCGCAGTACAAAACTTTATGCTTCTCAAGTACACTGGCCGTGATTCCCAGAGGCCAGAGGTAGGGTACTACGGATTTTTGCGAGCAAGTGCGGAGCGTCCAGTAAAGAGATGGCGTGCGCCTGTGGGTGTGGGACAGATTGCCTTTGGCAGCTCAGCTGCAGTGCTGCGGAGCAGTGCAGTGTGCGTCGAACCACTTCCGCTGTGCTGCGTGTCTGTGTTTCAGGCAAGGGCCTCGTTTAGTTTCACCGAATCAAGCAAGGGCTGAATTTCTGTAGCAACACCGTAGCTACATAATGCGTTTTATTTTATTTGGTAATAATTGTCCGTCGTTGATTAATTAGAAGCCAAACGTTGAATCTCAAGAAAGACAAACCAAATGTCGCAATTAGTTTTGATTTACGTCAACATTTAATTACTTTCATGTATCACAAGTTTTGATGTAATGGCGAGAGAATCTTCTTTTTGCATAGTATCAAAGTTTGGAATTAGGGTGAACTAAACACCCCCCAAGTTGATGGGTTGGATTGACAGGCTGACAGCGGTTTTGTTCATGCGAAATGGCAAGGGGGGGATCGCACTCGTTTTTTCAGCTGCATTTTTGGCATGTGTTGTGTAGCTTGCTTGCAAGCAACAACATGCGTAGATTCTTCTTTGAGGCGCATGCGTAACCCGTCTTAGCTTGCAAGTTAGTACTACAAATGGAGTGTGCTCAGCTTCTCTCTCTTGCATGTCTCATCCAGCGCTGTCACGCCTTACAAGTGGTGTGCCCATTACCAGTACAGTGCTGGAACTGGAACGCGCGTGAGTTGAGTTGGCACGTTGATTGCCGACGTGGCAGAGCTCGTCGTAGAACTGATCGATCGAGGAAGGCCTTTCCTGTTCCCGCGGCGCCACTCATCATCATCCTCCCGACGGGTCCAATCGACCGTGACGTCCTGGTTGGAGGATCTCCGTCCCCTGAAAGCAATGGGATTAACCAACTTGTACTGGCCGCAGCAAATTTTTTTATCCGATTGTTTAACCGTGAAGCGTTAGATTCGGATAAAGCGAAAAAAGGGAGGTGATTCCGCAGCAACAGCGGGGAGTTTCTGTTCCTTCACAGAGGCGCCCCGATCCGGTCTCTCTGTCTGTAGGGTCCACAGGACACCGGGCCCGCACGCCGGTGAGTGCGTGCCGATCTTCGACAGGTGCGAGAAGTACGCTTGCGGTGTACGCAAGGGTGAGGAGGAGGGCCGGGCCCCTCCTCGCAGGCGTGACGCTTGGGGTTCCTCTTTCCCCACGGGCCACGGCAAGGCCTGGCCCCACCCCACCCGGCGGGCCGTGGACGGACGGGGAGTGGAGGGGAGGGAGCATGACACGCGGGCCCAGGACGGGGGAGGGCGGGCTCTGTGATCCAGCACTGTTTCTCCGTCGCTTTTGTCCCCTCCGGCCCCCGCTGCTGCTTTAGTGCTTTTCCCGCTTTCGCGCTGAAAAGAAGAGTGCACGGGATGGGAGTCTGGAGAGGATGACGAGCCAGGCAGGACCCGTGCCGCGTACACCGGGTCTATAGGCGCCGCTGGCGTCCTGACTGGGTTTGGAATTCGGATCCTGCCGTGTGCCGTGCATATTTGCTGGCTGAATTGGGCTGAGATTTTTTTTGCCGTGTACAGTATAAAGCGTCAGATCTCGGACGGAGTTCATTGCTCTCGTCCACGGAGCATAAGCAATGCAAAGACTGTCGGTGTCGGCTTGCTGACGGTGGTCTATGCTGGAACGGGTCCAGCTAGGTCCATGAGGAGCGGCAGCCGGCAGGGATAGGGCGTCGGCGTTGGAGGGATTTTGATCAGACGACACGTCTTTCTCTGCGCTCCTGCTGGCCTGCTGCACTGCTGCTGCGGCCTTCTGGTTCTGGTTCTGGAAGGGGTACTTGCCCGTCCGGCCGGCGCCATGCATGGAAGGTTTTTGTGCCAGGTGGCCACTTGCGGGCTGCGGGCTGGGGCGCGCTAGCTCGCTCGGGGTCGGGACGAGACGACGAGCTGAGGCCTGAGGCTGCCGGTGGCAGACTGGCAAAAGGGGCGCCATATCAAAGCCTCTCCCAACGGCGAAGCAACGGCGGCCAGTTGTTTTAGTATTTCTCAAGAGATACTACTATATGCTACTCTACTCGAAGTACCGTAGCTACCTTTGTTCTCAAGCGAGACAGACATAGGCTCGTGAGAGCTACGCGATCGATCGAGTAGCAGGCAGGAAGGAATATATATATACTCCTATATATATACTTTTTTTCTCTCGAACGTGCCATTGGCACGGTATTCATTAAGCAGAAGGAGAGTTTACTCCTATATATCACGCCGCCAAGAAAGCACTCCCTCCGTCTTAGAATAGATGATGTTATAGGATGCGTGTTGATTAAACTTTTTCAATTTTAATTAGATTTGTAGAAAATACATGCAACATTTATATCTTCAAATAAGTTTATTATGAAACTATATTCAACGATCTATCTAATAATATTAATTATGTATTATAAATATTAATATTTTTTATATATAATTGATCAAAGTTTAAAAAAGCTAATATTTTTGGGAGCGAGAATGACCTCTGGGATAAAGTGAGTAGAGTACATGATTGAATAGTGGGTTACTGGCAGTCTGGCACAGCCTGCCGTGCCGAGGGCATGCAGTGCCCGTCCTGTCCATCCCGAATGGTGCTAGTGCAGCGACACGCGTGCTAGAGTTCATCGACGACTCGACATACCCAAGTACCACCCAACTATACATTGGTTCCTGGCTTCGCTTCTCTCTCTG